GGATCTTATTCTAACAGTATATCACACCCTCACTGCATTTCATAAAACAGTACAATATAATAGGAGAAACACATATCTCTCTGTCTCTCTACATCTATATATGATCATGCATGTGTATACCTATGCATCAAAGTTGAAGATACTTGTAGCGCTTTAACAGACTCAGGTGTGAGCTGTTTGGCTGGTGAGACCGAGCTTCCTTTGGCCGCCATAATAGCTATTTCTGACAGGATAATAAGCTCGGTTCCTTCCAGGAAGAGGAATAGGGAACGAACCCGCTTGTGCTGCTGCAGCTGCAGCCTTCTGAGTTTGATCCTCCTGATGATGTTGTTGAACTCCAACACCAACCAGAGATTCCAGTTTCTTCTGCTGATCAGTCATGGCTTATGCAGAAAATTACTCGCACAGAATTCTATAATATGGTCTGATCGAGAGAGACGACTGAAACTAGGTTGTTCTTTTTGCCTTTCGATGATTTTTGTGTTGCTCTAGATCTTTGTTATACAGGAAGCAGAAGAAGACAAGCCTTTTATAGGTGTAGTCATATAAGCTTCAAAGGGAAGCTTGGACCAACGTGTCTGCCCTACTTGGAGGTTGGAATAATTTTCCTTTTCTTTCTCTCTATCAGATATATATACAGTCTCTTCTACATTTCCACGTGGAAATCAGAATCAGGTTCGTTCCTTTACACTAATGGAGTAGTTCAGGCCGGAATATATCTGAGTTAATCCCCCTCTTGCACTAGAAGTAGCTTTCAAACAAGAGCATCTTCGTCTGAAAAAAGGAGATGGAATATCTATAACATGATATGTTGGATATATCCCCTTTGCTTGATGAGTACTAATTCTCACTGTGGAGTACAAAAAAAAAAAATCTTAAATATGAAGTACAGAAAAAATCTTGTTTATCCTTGAGAGTATTGTACAAAGCCATCTTATCTAGGAGTGAGGAAATATATATATATATATATATATATATCATAAGTACTAATTCCCACTGTGTATATAATTAATACTACTTTCGGTTGTAAATATATGCATATAAGAGTTAGTTGTATATTTAATTTGATTCTTAATATAAGATCCTAATTCATTTCGTATCTCATATTTATTTATTTTTTTCTCAAGATGATTCTCATAGTGAATATTGTGCATGTTAAATGATTTTTATTCTAATACACATGGTTAATAAGGACATTTTAGGAAAGATAACACTCATTTATTATAAATAACTAACTTAACTAATTTTCTTAATATTTACAAGTTAGTTATCTAATTGTTATATTAAGAACATGAGGTAGTATTTAGTTTTTATATTTTTTATGTACAAATTTTTTGTGTGACAGTTGTTATTGTTTCTAGAAGCATAAACAATTTATAAAGTTTTGTAATAATGCTCCACCTATTGAATAATTCTCATGTATGTATTGTACAAAACCATATTATACACTATTTTAGGAATGAGTTTATATGACAAATAAATTATAAATAGTGCAATTTGTTATACATTTTATGTTATTATCGATTTTGCCTATATCTTATACATAAGATATTTTTTTTGTAATAATCATAAGACATGATATTATTGACTAATTTAAATTTAAATTTTGTGCAGACTATTTTTGACAATGTGCAAAAATATTTTTAAAACCAAAGTCATTTGCACATAATTAAAAGTATGTTACATAGACAGTCAAAAAAGATGCAGATATTTTGCATACAATTGAAGAAGAGTTGTGCTCATTAAAAATAACTGGTATACCTACTCAAATTTAGGTCCTTATTGATAGAAGCTAAGTTTCACCAGATTCCCCTTAAGTTAACCTTTTTTTAATAGACATTTAACAATAATAAGTCAATATTATGGAAACCTAACAATTTTAATACTGTTATTGAGACCTTTATTTTGGAATTTATTATAGTAAGGCTTATAGAAATCTGAAAATAGAAAAGTTAATACATAAGAGGAAGATATCATCCAGGGTGTGGATGTAACTAAAAAAATAACTGGATGCACACCAAAAAAAAAGAAAAAAAATCAGGTGTTAGATACTCCATAAAAAGAATGCACCTGAGAAAAAAAAAAAGTCGAAGTACTGGATATACCTTTACGAAATAATAAATTAATGATAAAATTGTACATTCATATAATAAATTTAATTAGGTGACTTATATTAAGAAAAAAAACCTTTTTCTTTGCGCTGCAAATACTTTTTCGGTGTGCATCGTGGTTAATTTGGAAAATAAAGAACTTACCTAACCCACTGCAGAATCCACATTTAGAAAAAAGCTTCAATGGTTACAGATATTTAGCACTGAAACAAAGAAAAATTTATTTATTTTTGGCCAAAAAGGAAAATTGATAAATGAGGTTCCTGCAGAATAAAGTTTTTGAAAAATTCAATATCCCCATATTTTGGGTACCAATACCAATATCCTCATCAAATAACTTGTAATTTCGGTTCCATTAAGTATATGGGCCCAATTGCTAAATCATTTTGGTTATATTAAACTCGTTAGGCCCAAATCCAATTGCTAGATCAGGTCCGCAATCCAAGTCTAGTTATAATTTTTTTGGGCCAAAAAGTCTAGTTATAAGTGATTTTGATGTTTGACACGTATAAGAAGTGTTTCGTTTTTTTTTCCAAAAAAACATACGGTCTGTTTGATCTCTTGTTTTAAAAACAATTTTTTGTTTTAAAAACAAAAATACAAAAAAAAATTTTAGCAATTTATTTTTAGTTGATTGTTTTAAAAAAATAAAAAAACAATAATATGTGTTTTAAAAACTGAAAAACTAAAAAATTTTTTACATGTTTTCTTTTTGTTTTTTGTTTTAAAAAATTGAAGAAATCTTCTTTTTGTCTGCTCTACTACTTACTTCTTATTACTACTGCTGATAATTATCACTTGTCAAAGTGTAATTTTTTTATTTTTTGTTCAAATATGATTTTTTAAAAATTATTTTCCAAACAAATTTTATAATTTTTTTGTTTTTGGTTTCAAAAACTTGTTCTTAAAAAAATTTTATAAAATTGTTTTGAGAATAAGAAAACAAAGAACAAAAACAAATAAGCCCATCGTTTTGACTTTTCAATTTCTATTTTTTCAATTATACCCAGGTTAATTTTATAAATCTAGTACAGCCTACAACCAAATTTATTCTCAATACCATAATTATAAATAAATTTCATTTAAAATATATTTTTCCTATTATTAATTCAAACACCCTAAATCATGTGTAAATCCGCCAGGTAATTATATCTTTTAAGATACTTTATGTTTAATTTAAAATGGTTTGGTTTGAATCAAATCAGGGTCAAAAGCACATGAAAATTATTTGATACTGATACCTACTTATATTGATATTTTACTTGGTAGCTCCAATATATTAATATTTATTTCATTTATAAATTGGATGCGGACTATTATTTTTCACCCTTCACCTATTAAAAGAAACACAGTCATCCATCATACTACTTCCGGTCCTTAATATAAGATATCGTTTGACTTTTATTTTGATTCTAAAAATAAGACCTCAATCTACTCTATCTCTCATATTTATATATTTTTTTCAAGATAGTCTTTTTAATAATAATAGTTCTAACCAATACACTTAATTAGTAAGGATATTTTAGAAAAGAAAACACATATTTATTACAAATAACTAACTTAAACTTATTTTCTTAATCTCCTTAAATTAGTCAATTAATTCTTATAATTAGCACCGGAAATAGTATTTATTAATGGTTAGACTCATAACCTCACATTTAAGAAAGATTTAAAAAATATTCAGTGTCATTGGATCATAAAGTCATGAGAAATTAGATTTAAGCTATACTTACATTAAATAAATGATCAATTGTTAATTATAAAAATAAGTCATAAATTTTTTTTTTTGCCACATTAGGAAAAAATTATCAACCCTTAACATTATAATCACATAAGCTAGTTTTGAACAACGTGCATAATATTTGATAAAAACTAAAAAGAATGGAAGTTTTGTCGTTATCTTCTGCAATGGAAAACTTTGTACTATCATTGTCTCATAGGCATAGGCAGCCTCCATTTTGCCGGGAACACAATTTATGAATTATGAGGGCTTTTTTTTTTTTGTTTGGGGGAATTCTTTTGAAGTTAGTTATGTAACTGATTTTGGAAACGCCACCAGGTCAACCTGCTACTGTTTCACTTTTATTTGATTTATTTAAATTAAAAAGGAAAGATTTCCGTATCTTCCTTTTACGGTAATTTTTTTTTTAATCGGAACCGTTACTTTCTTTTCACTTTTACTGGCCTTAGAGTTATACGTATCTTTCCCCATATTTATATCATTAACCTTTAATTGAAATAAAATCATGATATATTTTTTTTTGCTGTAGTTAGAATAAATATCACTCCAATATAATATATGCTCTGCACAAATCGTTTATTTAAAATATATAAAAGTATTGGCCAAAAAAATATATAAAAAGTTGTATGAGATGTATCAAATACGAGAAATATTATTTTATATTTGAAACAATGAAAAAAATACTAATATATGAAGTTTAGAAACCTTCTGTTTGAAACTAGGAGGCATGAAAAATTAGCTCTATAGTGATGATTTTTCTTTAAAATGTAAAACAAATAGAGTCTTAAAATATTTATAAAATAAAAATTATAAAATTGGAAATTAAATTTGTTGAAAAGAAAGTCCCCAGAGAGCAAGCGCAGCAAAATTGCGTTTGGGGAAGATTAGGGTACACGTACCACCAATAGTCACAAAAACGTATGGTCCGCGCACACTGCGACGTCGTTTCGAAATATCCTGCAGGCCTTAGAATTCGCACGGTTCCGCTCGCGCGTGGATCACCGCGTCAAGCTTCTTATTTTCAATGATTATTTTAATTTTAATTCGATTAATTTTTGGCATATTTTCTTTGCTAGCTCTTGCACAGGAAAGTGTGGATGTACCGAAAAGATTTAAAACGCTTCGTTCAATCTCTTCGCTCGTTCTCTGGGTATTTGTCTCTCTCTCCATTCTCTCCCTCCTGTGCACTGAAGAACCATAGAGGAGAGCCCAAAGAGACGCGAAGAGCTCCCTTCTAGAATCTAAATTAGTAATTTGAGCGTGATTCGCACTTCATTTATTGGAAGTAGTAATCTTTTTTATTCCCAATACTGCGAAATTTCGACTTCTTGATGCCCCATTCCTTTCTTGCAATCCAGGAAGCCGAAGATACGAGAACCAGCCGCAACCCAGTTATTGCTATGCAAAGTCAACACCATTGACGGTAGTTATTAGAAAGAAAGTGACCCTTTTCAATTTGGAATTTTCGCCTTTCAAGGAATTGCAATTGTTTTGGGCATTTGTTGAATTTCTGTTATTCGTTTCTGTGGCCATTTGTGTTCTTCACCTTTTCCTCCCTCCAAAGCTCGAAGACATTGAATTTAGGGTTTTCTCCAATGCTACAGAGGAATGTGTCATGGATTCTGATGAGGGTCGGGGTTTCAGAAGCTTTGAGGAGAGTTCATGGAGTATTGTAGACTGCTTGTCGGGCTAAATCTGTCACTAATTTCTAAGGTTTTAGTGCTTTATTTTCTGGATCTTTATTTTTTCGGGTGGTTAAGAGGATTTGATTTTCTTCATAGAGAGTTATTAATTATTATAGCATCAAATCATGATTTAAAAAACTTTATATAGTTTTTTATTATTCTGTTTACTTTCATTTGGTCAATGCATTTGACCAAATGCAATGACATTTATTGCATGTAGTCCACTGTTTAAAACGCTTGCAAAATCTACTTAGGGATTATTTTGTTGCTTTCTTCTGCAGGTGAAACTATAATTTTGGATACTAAATTGTAAAACTATTTTGTCAAGATGAGATGAGTTACTCAGTTTCATTCTTAAGCGTGAAAAATTGACTCAACTGCAGTTAACACATTTTATCTAATCAAATTTTTGTCTGGGCCTTCTTTCGATTTTCACTTATCTGGCAGAAGATGAGATCAATTACTCAATTGCTTTTTTGACGAGGGGGAACAAAGTAGTTGATTTGATTTAAGCAAAAAAGTGCGCCTAGCTGTCTCAGTTGGCATAGCTTGTGTCTCTTCATGGGTTGAAAGCTCTTGTAACCCATAAGCGATTATTGCTTTCTCTTGCTGGGATTGGCTTTTGTTGGATCCATGGCATTCCCTTGCACCTTTTCCAGGACAGAAAATCATTTTGAATGCTAGGAAATTACAGATTGATTGCTAATTGTTTCATCATTTTGTGCCTGGTTCCGTCTGTCAAAAATATGACAGAGTTGGTTTTAGTGCCTGCTTTTTGTGGCCCCCTTTTTTTGGCTTTATCTCATTTCCCAAATTTTTATTAAGACTTCTGAGCTAATGAATTTGAAGATGTCTGCTTAAAACTTGTGGTCTGGGGATATCATCTTGTTTTAACAATGCTAGACTTAATTAAAGAGAAATACCATATTGATAATTAAAGCTAATTGGCACCTACTCTCTAAGACAAGCATGTGGTGCTTTTAAGGTTTCAGGCTTCACCCTCAATTTCCTCATTCTTTGATAAAATTAATTTTGGAGTGCTGGCGGATGAGATGGCCAAAATGATAGGATGACAGTTTTTTTTATTATAATTTTCAATTTTTAAAGATGATTTTCGTGAAAAAGTAGTTCATTATGCAATCTTTTCTTTATGTACAGGATCAGAACCATATTGTCTGGCATTGGCTAAGTGTAGCTTGTTTTTTTAGTTCTGGAACGATTTGTATGATGGATGGATTATTTGTTCCTTTGATGCTTTACAGGAATATGGCTCTCCAGAAATATCCTCCATCTGGTGATGCACCCACTGTGAATATGAAACGTTTGACTTTTACCAGTAAGCTGCGTGAGAAGGGTCAGCTGGAGGTGGCAAGTCGGAATCATGCTGTGGATGTGGACGTTGACCTTCGAGAAGTTTATTTTCTCATTATGCATTTTCTTTCTTCCGGGCCATGTCATAGAACTTGTGTTCAATTATGGAATGAGCTTCTTGAGCATCAACTCTTACCTAGAAGGTATCATGCTTGGTATTCAAGGAGTGGGATGCCTAGCGGAGATGAAGATGATAATGGTCTATCATTCCCTTTAAGTTACAATCAGTTGGTGGACAGGTAGTTCGTCCATTTTCTCATTCATGCGCTCATCAGTCTGGTACTTGTGTCTTTTTCTTTTACGTCATTACTGGTGAAAACTGAGAATGCAATAAATGTGTTTCATGTGACTATTTCCCTTTCCTATATGACCTTGTCATTGATGTCAGAAATTATTATTTAGGTATCCTCACATTGAAAAGGATCACTTGGTAAAGCTTTTGAAGCAATTGATATCAAGGGCAACATCCCCATCATTTGGCATGAGTCGTGGAAGTGCTCCTAATGCAGCTGATGTACCTACCCTTCTTGGAACGGGTTCCTTTTCACTTCTGAGTGGTAGGGGACCTTTACTCGCTTCACCTTTGATTGACGTCATATTTACCTTATTCATTCATAAAATTCTTGTTCTGATCTGCAAATTTATTGGTTATCCACTTGAGAACAAAAATGTCTTGCACTGTTAATGTTGCCTTCAATTGAAAATATTTCTTTGCTTCAGATGAGAAGGACAAAACAAATGAAGTCAAACGACAGCGACCTTACATGCGCTGGCCTCATATGAAAGCCAATCAGGTCCAAGGACTTCGTTTAAGGGAAATTGGTGGTGGTTTCACTAGGCACCATCGTGCACCATCTATACGTGCTGCGTGCTATGCCATTGCAAAACCTTCGACCATGGTACAAAAGATGCAAAATATAAAGAGGATGAGAGGGCACCGTAATGCTGTGTATTGTGGTAGGTTATTCTATTTGATACCTAAGTTAAACTTTGTGGTAGGTATCTCTATGATTCTCAATGTTTAGACCCATTGTATTAATTAATAGTTCTTGTACATTTCAAGAGGGAGGAATGCACCTATCCCTTGCTCTTTTCTCTCTTTTTTTCCTGCAGGTATTTTGGTTTGAGCATACGTTTCTTGTCGTCTTCTTAATCCAGCTGTAATTTATATTTGGCAACTGATTTTTTTGTTTTCCACCCCTTCTCAAAAGTATGGATTGTATTTGATTGGGTGTGAATGTTAGAAAATAGACAAAAGCTATTGAAAACAAGGAATTTTTGTCACAACTCAAAGTAGTGTTCCAAAGATATGGTTTTTTATTAATTTAAATAACATTTTATGGTTATCTGAATTGTAAAAGGTCTACATATAATTCCTGATTTTTGTCGTTGTTTGGAAGTGGGATTTGACTTGTATAGACTGAAGGCCTTAGAAAGCCCAATTTTAAATGAAACATAAAAATTTCCAGTTTTTGTATATCAATGAGAGAGTATGAGTGTCCTTGTGACACATTCCTTTGCTTGTTTATTGGTTTGTTCTGAGCTCTGCAAGATATTTGATGAATCTGTTTTTATGCGTTGCTGTCAGAAACATTGTTCTGATCATCAAAAGCTTTATTGCTTTGGTTGTTTCACTAATGCCTTCATATTGAATAAACAATTTTTTTGGCTTCTTCCTATATGTCTAGAAAAGCCATGAAGAACGTTTCCATTTCTTCTCTCCTTTTTCTTTGGGCAACAGTTTCTTCAAATTTTTGTTATTGTCTGCTCTGAACGACAAAGATTTAGTGAGGAATTGTTACATGCTCCTGGAATGAAATCTCATTTGAGAGCATCTAATAATTTTTTGGGATAGTATTCTTAGTAGAAACATTCTACTTTTTTGGATGGTTAAGTCTTCTTGTAGTTATTGTTTCTGTAGCTGCTTCCTTGAATTCCTGTGCTTTAAGAGAGCAAGCTATTTTTCTCCTAGATTTGCAGCTGATGATTTGCCTTAACATGCATGCAGCTACATTTGACCGGTCTGGGAGGTATGTTATTACGGGTTCAGATGATCGACTTGTGAAAATTTGGTCAATGGAAACTGCATATTGTTTGGCTAGTTGTCGTGGACATGATGTGAGTTTGTTTTGTGCAGTAAATATGTTTTCCCCTGTTTGACCAGATTTGATTTGCTTTAACGTCTGTTAAATTTAAATTATGATGTGTTTGGTAGGGGGATATCACTGACTTAGCTGTCAGTTCAAACAATGCCTTAGTTGCATCCTCTTCAAATGACTGTATCATACGAGTTGTAAGCTCTCTTTGACTCATACAACAAGTTTTTGTGTTCCTTATCTTCTCATTTTTGCCTTGGCTCTTTCATGATACCCTAATATGTTGTTGATTTTTGTTTCCATAGTGGCGCTTGCCTGATGGCCTACCAATATCAGTTTTGCGTGGTCATACTGGAGCAGTTACTGCTATAGCATTTAGTCCTAGACCTAGTGCTGTGTACCAACTTTTATCGTAAGTCATTGGATTAACAAAGAAAGAAAATGAATTTACTATGTTGTCTAATATATAAGCCTTTTTTTTTTGCTAGCTAATATATAAGCAATTTATTTATTACAATATTCTATTTTTACAAATAACCTCTATAATGTTGAATGCAGCAAGATAATTATGAATCATAAATTTTTTTTAAGTAAGAAGACTGTAAACCAGAACTGACATATCAGGCCAGAAGTATGACAGTTTCTAAGTGCATGTTTGGGATGGCGTTACTAAGCCTCTTAAATCACCTAGGACCAAAAAAAGAAAAAAACAAAGGCTAGTTGGATAATGATGTTTGGCATGGCTTTGAGGGCAAATGACTTTTTGCCCAAAAGCCACTTTTAAATTAAAGTAACTTTTTCTGGCTTTTTGGCTCTTGGCTCTTGGCTTTTTTAAAGATTTGAACCGTTGGAAACTGATTTTCAATATATCATCCAAACTAACTTTAACGTTGGCTTTTGACTTTTTTAATAAAATCCTATCCAAATATAAATTACATTATCACTAATTGACTTTTATTCTAACTTTAGTTTGCAAAAGTTAGTTAGGATGAAATTCACTTTTGTAAACGGTAATCCAAACAAGCCCTAAGCATTTACTAAAAGACATGCTTTCTTCTATATTTTGATTATGTCAAACTTGTGATCATGTGCCCCACTTGTTTCTGCATTCCCTTCTGACCTACAATATAACTGTTCAGAAAATACTTGAGGCAAATTTCTGCAAAAGGTCACTGATAATTTATATTAGTTTTATTTGAGATGTAATTTGCTAATTGTAGATTAAGGAATCCATCGACTGATATGGAGTTTTGCTTTCATTTTTAAATGCGTTTTGAAGTTTACCGTGTTAGATGATGATATAAGGATTATTTTTAATCGCATCATCAGGCAAAAATTTACGCATTCCTTATCCTTCTTTTTAGGTCTTCAAGGTTCTGTGTGTATCAATTTTTTGCTTTGTTTCTTTTAACTTGCAGGTCATCTGACGATGGAACTTGTAGAATTTGGGATGCAAGGCATTCCCAATCAAATCCGCGAATATATGTCCCAAGGCCTTCTGATTCTGTTATTGGTCAGTTTGTTCTTTTGCGTTCTATAATTTTTTGACTTCTCTCTGGTTCGAATGACTGACTTGGGATATCTGTTGGCTTAGGGAGGAGCAGTGGCCCATCTTCAAGTAATTTTCCACAGAGCCATCAGATTTTTTGTTGTGCATTTAATGCTAGTGGAACTGTCTTTGTCACTGGGAGTTCTGACAATCTTGCCAGGGTATGTATGTAATTTTCTTTCCATAGGATTTTCCTTCTGTTTTTAGTTCTGCTTATATTTGAGTCCTCTGGTATTTGTGGTCTTAGGAATGATGACCTTATAAGTAGAGATGGATTCTTCCACTTGTATCAGTAGTTGCTTTTGTGTTGAGGCTTGTTCGTTCCTTGTATAGGGAATTCGTATTCCTCTGGAATCATCATCTCCATCAATGAACACTATTTAATCTGCGGTCACCCTTCATTTATAATTACATACCTCCATTCATTATTGACAAATTGGTGGGTTTTTGCTGGTTGTTGACATCCTTCATCTAGGTGCTTGGTTTGTTTTTTTATCTTTTACAAATGGAAGATAATTAAACGCAAAAGGTGCCCATAAAGCATTACAGCCCTATAACATCTCAAGGTGAGAGGCATTAGAACAGCAGAATGATGCAAGACGCTAAAATAGGAATAACAGCTAAAACTATGATATATGTGAAGAACTCTTATGGTTCTGAATTGATTATATTCGAATGAAGCAGTGGAATATAAATAGGTTACAGCAGCCTCATCTAGATGAGGGTAGAAGGCCGAAATCTTAGGGATAGGCCGAAATCCTAGGAAAATAAAAAAGATACAGGTTTGAATGATAAAACAGAATAATATCCCTAAATCCTAGATTACATCTGAAACTTAAATTGCAATAACTAACCCTAATTAGGGTTTTAGGCCGCAACACTAATTAGGGTTAGGGTTTTGAGGCCCATGGCCCAATCTTTACTAACACTCCCCCTCAAGTTGGCAAGTAGATATCTAGCATGCCCAGCTTGTCTCTGAAGTTTTCAAACTTGGATCGTTCCAAGGGCTTTGTAAGAACATCAGCTACTTGAAATGAGGTTTTTATGTGTGAAAGATCAATAATATTTGATTCAATCTTCTCCTTTATAAGTGTCTATCAATGTCCACATGTTTAATCCTGTCATGATGAATTGGGTTGTGAATCATCTAAATTGCAGACATGCTGTCACACCATAGTTTAATAGGCACATCAATAGTGAATTTAAGTTCTCTTATACTCGGATAATCCACATGCCTCACAACAAACCGTTAGCTAGGCTTCTTAGTTTCAGCTTCTTCTGCCGTTGCTTGAACTGCGGTTTGTTTCTTGCTTCTCCAAGTTGCAAGGTT